AACAATCAACACAGAGCGTCTGCTTAATTAATTAATTCGTAAGCATGCATACATAAACATATATATATATATATGTATGTATATATATACCGGGCCGTCGTGAGAAAACTCGGGCCCGGACTGAAAAATCACGGGCCCTTACACATAAACTCTAATAATTCAAAAGCATGGGATCAATTGAGAGTTTAAATTTAGGGTTTCTTTAATGTATAGAGTCAGAAATATTCAGCACTAATCGGAATATGTATATTTGTGATAAAAGTCTATGACAAAGGAGTAGTATCTAACGGAAATATGGAAAAGTATTTGTTCCTATAATGAAAAACATGGTTATTGAAAGCAAGCGCATTGATCTCTTTCAAAATTAAATCGTAAAAAACTAATAATAAGTTATGGTACTGGGCCCTGGAAGACTCCCTCCCCCCTCTCGACGGGCCTGTATATACTATATGTATACATATACATATGTGTTTGAGCGTGTGTGCGAGGAGCTCTGCATCGATGTCAAATTTGCAGGCGCTTTGGGTGCATAAGTGTCTGGTGTGCCAAACAGCAACAAAGCAATTTCCACGTTGACGAGACAAGCAGCTTGAGTATGTTGTTGCCATTAACCACATCACAGGGGAGGTTCTGCCATGTCATTAGCGGTAACAACAATAAACTATGAAGTTTAATTTTTTTACCACAAACATTGGTTTATACACCCACGCTGGCAAATATTTAGACAAATATATTTTTTCTTCTACTTCTACTTGAATGTCGCTGTAACTGCCTAAGCGATTTTGGCGAAGACCAATAAAGCATGTCAGCCGTTTCTATTCTGTGCCAACTGACGCCATTACGAAATGCCAAGTGAAGAAAAGTGCTTCCCCACCTGAAGGCCTTCCTCACCTTCTGCTACTGCCAGTGCGATCCGCGTCGTATATTTTCTAAGCTGGAGCAACAGTGTCTATTTGTACGGCATGGCCTAACCAACGGAGCCGCTGTATTTTAATACGCTGCACTGCGTTTAGCGTTGTAAAGCTCCACCAGGTAACCGTTTCATCGTGTGCCCTCACCAACGCGTAAAGGCTCGTAAATCCTCCTCGGGATATTTCTCATTAACACTTAAAGAGGGATATTATCGAGTGTTGTCATTCTCCACACTTTTGCATCCTATACTTCCACAATAAGCGAAGAGCTTTTATGTTTTGCCAGAAGGTACTTTTCTGTTTTCGTTCGCTGCTAGGCCGATCACATTTGCTTCTTTTTCTTAGCTGAAAAAGGCTTCGCTGACGGCCCTAGGCTTCGGGCCAATGATGTCAATATTATCAGATTGGTAGCTCTTATGACGCTTTGCAGCATTAGCATGAGAAAGTATCAATTTTAACGGAGCTGAATCTTGTACTCAGCGTCACTCAATATAGCCGTATTAGATTACACACAGGGACCTTCTCTTCGTGTATAAAAATACCTAAACCCTTGAGGTCAGCTGAGTAAGCTCACTTCCGTCCAGAGGAAGGGGGGAAGGGGTGAATCCTCCGGGCCCGGTCTTCTTAAGAGCTCTGAAATATCAGAACATCAACTTGTTATTTTTGTTTGCAATGTTATAGGGTTTCATTATAAACTAAATAGTGTTCGCCCAGCGGTTGAAATTCAATCTTTTAAATTAAGGGGAGTCGAGGTGGGCTGAGCTGAGTCGAGCTGAGTTTAATTGAGTTGATTGAAGTGAATTAAGGTGAAATGTAACATAAGGTGAAATGTAACAACATAACATAACACAACACAACACAACACAACA